CATTCAATTTTTCAGCCATGCCCTTGTCTCATAACCCATATCGTTTAATAACTATCTGAAGGAAAAAAAAAACAATATCATCTCTCGAACAGAACACTCTCAAACCCATTGCCACCCTCCTCTAGACCTAAACCTGCCTAACCCTAACCTCGCCATCGTTGATCTCCTCTAGCCCAAGAATCGGCATCATCATCCCCGACCTATTCTCATATGTATTGGTTGTATTGGAAAACATAACACATGATTTTAGAGTTATAAAAGATGTTGAACATTTGAATTTTTGTTCCCACCAACAAACATGATAATTCTAACATAATATTATCATTTCTTATAAAATTTTAAATTGTACATGTAAAAATGTTGTCATGCTCACTTATCAGTTGCTAGTAAATATTATCTTTGTAATGTCACATATACCAATACTAGTGGATTTATAATAACTTATCGCAATACGAGATTCTCAATTTTAAAGCAAATGAATTCTTATTGTTTCGTAATACAAAAGAATATGGTGATTGTTTATTTCATAGTCTATAAATTATAAGGAAATGCTACATTCAAGATGAAATGTTTAAGGAGTATGTTAACCGATGAAGACCAACATAAAGGAAGTGATGAGGAAGAAGGTAACGGTGAAACACAATTGGATTCTTTCTCAACACAATGAATATGATTAATTTTATTGCATAATATTATTTTATCTTAAGGTATTGTGTTTAAATTCAATTTAATTTCAATATCATTATCATTATATATATATATATATATGTTTAAATTCATTTTAATTTCAATATCATTATATATATATATATATATGTATATATATATATGTATGTATATTAAGTTTTAGCAATTAAGAGTATTTGTGAAATAGCCACCTCACAAAATTATTTAACATGTTAAAATAGTAATTTTCAATCATTTAGAACAATAATCAAAAGGTCATCTTCATCATGCACTTAATCCATAGACAAGCTCAAAATCATTATGTGAAGATAATCATTTCAGGCGTTATCAAAACAAGTTGGAAATGACACACACACACACACATATATATATATATATATTTATATATATATATTTATATATATAGAGGAGCAATCAAATGAAAACCACTCCAATTTGTAAAAACCGTAAAAACTACTCTCATCCGTCGTTAATCTTATGAAATTTTTTCATGAAATTGTTAATCTTGTGAAATTGTTTCATATAATACTTTTTTTTGATGAAGTTCTTTCATATGTGGTTATGAAATTGTTTCATATACTACTTAATGAAATTTTAATGAAACTGTTTTATGTATTTCTCTAAAATTAAAATAATGAAGATGATAATATCCATGATTAACATCCTCCACAATAAAAATGGTTAATCAACCTCTCATAATTACAAAAAAATGAATAAAATGAAAAATTATGATTGGTGGAATGAGGTTTTACGGTTTTTACAAATTGAGTGGTTTTCATTTGATCGTTGATCCCCTATATATATATATATATATATATATATATATAAGCGATCAAATGAAAATCACTCCAATTTGTAAAAACCGTAAAAATTACTCTCATTCATCGATTTCATTGTTTAATCTTATGAAATTTTTTCATGAAATTGTTTAATCTTGTGAAATTGTTTCATATAATACTTTTTTGATGAAGTTGTTTCATATATGGTTATGAAATTGTTTCATATACTACTTAATGAAATTTTAATGAAACTGTTTCATGTATTTCTCTAAAATTAAAATAATGAAGAT